ACACGAACGGAAGCACGCCGTCTCCCAAACCTGCCGAGCCTGCATCTTCTCTGGATCTCCTAGCAGGCCTGGGATCTTCTGCCTCGCCCGCACCCGCTCCTGCCCCTTCGGCGGCTCCTGCTCACACGGCCTTCAACAAGAACGACCTCTCCCTTGCCCTCCAGGTCCAACGTGGCAGCGGTGGGAGCGCGCAGATCCAGGCTCGTTTCCGCAACACTTCAAGCTTTGGCCACTTCTCCAATGTTGGATTGCAAGCAGCCGTGCCCAAGAGTCAGAAGCTACAGCTCAGCGCGATCAACAAGGCTGATCTCGATGCTGGTGACGAAGGTATCCAGATGCTCAAAGTTGCAGCACTCACTGGGGTAAGCTAAAACCAACCATGACCTTTTTGATTGCCTTTGACTAATGTTCTTCCAGGCCCTCCCACCTAAGCTCCGCCTTCGTCTCCGTATCACGTATGCCAAGGACGGTTCCGATCCTGTAACAGACCAGGTGGACTGGACCGAGCCGTGAACGGTCACCAGGGCCATTCTTTCATAAACCCTTATATTCACCTTACAAGAACCTTTTAGACCGCCCATCTAATCTTACTTTATCAACCCAATTATTGTATCAGGGAGGATGGAAGCAAGCAAGCCAACCCTTGGGAGAAGACTACCTACTTGACCATTCATAGTTCCTCACATTACATACATGCATGTTCATACATACCCGGTCCATTTCTAGCTCTCCATTTTCATCATCTCTTCCCTTCGCTGTCATGTGTTCCCTTTGCCTTCTATGTAAATGCTTGGTATGTTGCTGAGGCGGCCTCGGAGTGGCCGGTTTTCCCCATATGTGGGGTCTAAAATGAAAATGTTCCTCTTCACTTTACCACGGACTTCTACGGTAGTGATTAGTATATATCTCGGAGTTAGGAGATTTGCGACTGCGGCGTTAACAACAAGTGCCCGGTGATCGCACAGTCGTTTGTTTGCGCTTCAGTGATGCTTTGCAATCCCAAAAACCACCAAGATTGTGACCGTGACTACCCAAAACCGGGTGAGACAAAGGACTAGAAGTCCCACACGTCATCGATAACAGAATGAGGCAAATCGACAGGGACCGGCGTTCTACCAGAGAACAGCTGCGGCCTCCGATGCACTCGTGCCTAATGAGCAGTGCCGGGTCAAGGAAGATTTCATCAGTCTGAACTGCGAGAAGTGAGACATTAAGCTTTTGTTTGATGATGCTGGTCGGGAAGTTAATGGTTGATGTATATGATAGCTATTAATAGTGATCTTCATTCTTGCATGGTGTTGAGGACTTGCTTTATCATCTTCTTCAACAATGTCTCATCCTATTGACTCAGGTTTGGCTTTCCGGCGGGTTTTTCTCAGGGCGCGTATATTGGACCAATTCGCTCGAGGCGCTTATGCGTCGAAGGGGAGGGGTGTGGCTCGGATGAGTTGGCTTCAGTGGGACAAGGCGTCTAAGCGGCAGCCGACCGGATTAAGGCTGCTTGCTTCGCCCAAGTTTGATCTACTCTACTGGTCACACTGTCCAGGCACAAGGACGCCTGTAGCTATTCTGACTGGCTGCTTCATGATAGCCTCAGGCCGCTTTGTATGTAGATGAGTGATTGTGATGTGATACTTGGAGGTCATGGCTCCTGAGTCCTGGGCTAAGATCCTTCCTTCCTTGTAACCTTTATAAATCAACAAGTAGTGGTGGTGGTGACTGTTGGGTACGAACCTGCAAAGTTAATGATAACGTAAATGAAGCACTTGGTGGATGGATGCCTTTGTCCTTATCCCCACCATCTTCGAGCGTTGGGCTGCAGAGGTTCCACTTAGCAGTCTCGCCTGATGACAACCATAAAGTAGGGCTGTTTCACACTTGAAGAAAGGACTCCGAAAGATGGTGGTGTGGGCAGTGGTTACTACTTGTTTATCAGCAGCTTCTATGCGGTCATCCTTGACTGCTTTGTTTGACGATTTGGGTCCAAGATTTGAAGGATTATACATTGGTGCCTGATATGACACCTGCTATCCGGTCCACACTTTAGCCAGGATTCTACATCCATGCATGAACTTGGTACATTTGATCGTGCAGTCTCAGCCAGGGTATCGACACCTCTGATTTTAGTTTGTTAGAGATGTGGACCGTATATCGGCCGAAGATTTGCCCATAGTGCAAGCTCATGGGTTGTCAGATCAGAGAGATGCAGGATACAGATCAACGGGGGTCATAGCCACGATTATGGGGAAAGCTTGCGCTCGAGCCGGATGGGCTCGGAGATAGCCAAATCTGACACTTACTATACTGAAGATGCTCGGTAATATATTCGCGACAGAGTGACCCGAGAAGATGTATTCCATTTGTAGATCGCATGGTTCATCTATGGCGAACTTGATGATGACGATGTCAGGCCGACATCACGTGTAATACCGTATTGTGACCCCCCTCATCTCCCCTCACCTGCAATTGAGGGTCTGCACCTTTCCGAAAACAGACCAATACACAAGGATACCGCGTAAGGGGAGCGTAATAGAGTCCTGAGGCCATCAGCAGCGTCGCGCGTTTCCTCGTCCTTTCTGTCTCTCGCTCTCTCGCGCTCTCTCTCTCTCTCTTCCCTCTTCTCTCTCTTTCTCATCTATCTCTTGAGAGTGAGCAAGCATTCAACGCTCATCAATCGCGATTCCATTAAATCTAGCATCATCATCAATTCCATCCATCGAGTCCCCTCCGTTGGAAAACCACCGTTTATATCTAGATCTCCGTCCGATCTCATTGGTGTCGGGGGACTTTCTCGCAACAACCAGTGATCGTTGCTCGTCTTGCCAGGGACTTCTGGTTCGCCAATTGATTGCTGCGCGCATCGCGGCCGTCCCCAGTAATACCTGCCCTACGACCATTTGCCTGCTCTCTACTGGACGGTAAGCCAATAACTCTACACGCCCCATCCATCCCCCAGCGTCGTGGGCCACCGGAATTTGATCCAATCGCCTGGTCGGTTGCTCCCTCTTTAATTGTTGGTTTTGCTGCCTTTCCCAGCTGCGCAACGTGCCACACTGCCAGTCTGACCCACGGTTACTTCCGTGTTGCATTACCCGCGTCACATCCCGCCCCGACTTGTTCCCAGGTCTTCCGGGCTACTGGGAAACTGTCAAGTGCGCATGGCTTGCTGACGTGACCACTCCTGCAGTCGCGCGCGCGCTGCCCTCTAAACCTCCCTCCACACTGAGCCACAGGGGCTTTGCCCAAAAAAAAGAGTTTCCAGGTTTCTGGTGCTGTATCCATCTTTACTCTGGCTAATCAAATCAGATCTTTCCATTTAGAAGAAGAAAGAAATTAAATCAAAAAAGAAAGAAAAAAAGAAATACGAAAAAGAAAACGCGCTGGAAATCCCAAAAGACAGACAGGCAAGACAGATTTAAAGTACCTTAGAAAACAATAACAAACAGAAACGCCTGCTGCGACCAAACACACAACCCACCCCCCTCCCTCCACCCTCCTCGTCGAATAATAGATCCCGCCGGTCCTTGCTCACGACGCTAAAGCAGGACTATCGCAGAAGCATTGCCAATCCCCCACACGCGCAATTACGCCCGTCTTTCCCCGTTCAGGCTGTCGTGAAGCGAATCGCTGCCCAGCCAGACGCACCCTCGTTGTCTTTGGCGCGGCTGTATCATAGCGCGCGAGATCGAGAATCCACCGCGTGCTGCACGCAGCTCTGACGTGGTTTGCCAGCAGAGCAGTTAGAGACAAGCCCCCGTTCTAAATCCAGTATCTCTGCACGTTCTCAGAACAGCTAAAAATCATGTCGTCGACCTCTCCCTCGAAGGAACCGGAGGTGGAACCCGAAGTTCAATCGGGTGAAGACCAGGAACAAATGGATAAGGACCAACAAGACACTCAGGCGCAGGGTCAGGGAGAGTTCGAGGTGAAGGAGCAGGATAGATGGCTGCCAATTGCAAATGGTTAGTTGCGTTCCCTTGCAGCTTTCTCTTTTTCCTGATTTGCGCGTACCTTACGTTTATCTGCTGGTCAACCGCCTCTTGCCCTACTATGATGGTTCACCCACCCCCCTCAACCGCATACCCCCGTTGCCTTTATTTGATCCTAACCGCCAGTCCTTCTGTATGTTTTGTGACTTGAGTTTTCATGGCTTGGATAACGCCTCTCCGTGCTCTTCCCTCATTCGTCTCTTGGTTGTTCGCACATTCCCCATCATATAAGCCCGCCTACCCTCCTAATGTCTGGAAGTAAAAGACGCCTGATCACTTTCAATCATGCCTGCGAACCCCGCATATATCACAGTTGATACCATGTCAGGATACTAATGTTGCAAATTAAGTGGCCCGTATCATGAAGCTGGCTTTGCCTGAAAATGCCAAAATCGCAAAGGAGGCCAAGGAATGTATGCAAGAATGTGTGAGCGAGTTTATCTCATTCATCACTAGCGAAGGTTGGTGCGACCACACCTACTCTTCAAGCTCTTTCACTGACGGAGTCTTACCCATTTGTCCGTAGCCTCCGAGAAATGCCAGCAGGAAAAGCGCAAGACCGTCAACGGGGAGGACATTCTATTCGCCATGACCTCCCTCGGGTTTGAAAACTATGCAGAGGCCCTTAAGATTTACCTGTCCAAGTATCGCGAGGTGAGACCTGTGCAACCGTCCCCAATCATGTTTCCTTTCTTCGTAACAGGCGACATTGAGTTTCATGACGTATCCGGACGCTAATTATTCCTCTAGACCCAATCCGCAAGAGGCGAGCACCAGAACCGTCCAACAAGCAGTGGATATGGTGCTGGCGCGCCCGTAGGGGCCCCCGGGCCTGCCGGTCCTGGTGGCCGTCCAATGGGACCTGGTGCAGGGTTTCCTGATGCTGCTGATAGCGCCAACAATATCATGAACCAAAGCTTGGACCCGTCTGAGCAGGACACTTCCGCTTATGGCTACCCCCCGATGGTCGGCCAGCCGCACAACGGCACCACCGGTGAATCTTATTAGTATGCTACTGTGCGGGAGAACCATCCGCTGGACTTGACGACTATCCTGCAGCAAGGGACAAGCAGAGACTCGAACGTCAGCCTCCCTTCACCCCTGCAGAGGCTGGATGCCCCTCGTCTCCAGCATGAAAGGCGGCTGGGATCACAGGCCCAAGCGACGAACGTTTCCGGATGTTACTCCCTGTACAGCGATCCTAATTACGCGGTACGATACAATGGGTTACTTACGGGATATTAACGGAACGAACACGAATCAAGCAATACGACAGGAACAACGGAGCCGAGAGATAGTTTGTTTTTCCCCGCTGATTTGGTTTATTTTTGCTTTTGATTCTTCATCTTCTCTTCTACAATCGGCTGGAGCATCAGTACCAGCCAACCTGCCAGGCCCACTTTGGCATCTCAGTCACCTTCCAATGACCAAAGCAATCTCACCTCTCAACATCAAGCCAACCAAGAGAGGGAAATTGCCCATATATTCTCATGCTTACGAGTACAATATTCATCTGCGCGTTATGGTTGACCAGAGAAAAAGGGGTACCCACACCCGATTGCTAGGGGCCAGTTACATGTAATTATTGTCTGAGTTGAGTATCTATTATTTGCGCGTGTATGTGTGTCTTTGTCATTATTTATTGCAGAGTATGGGATACTGTTCGGAAGCAGGAAGAAGAAGAAGAAGAAGAAGACAACAGGAACCTGACAAATAGAACACGGATTGGACTTCACTGTCCCTGACAGCCAAAAAAAATCACGTGGTTGCATTTCAAAGCGTACAGTAGAAGCCAAGTCTTATGGTTACCGCTAGATGAATCTGTACGACGGAAAATAGTTCATGAACGAGCTTGCGCGGTGTAACCCGAATCCCCCTGATTACGTACGTGTTCAAGAGAAGAACGGGCTAGCTTTCCATCATATAAACAACGGGACGATCGATAGAAATGAACAAAAAACGAGATGTCATCATCATAGTCATCATCATAGGAATAGAATGCAAATCTAACCAAACCAGAAGGAAAATAATACCACGACTCGCTAAAATAACAGGAAAGCAACCACAGATCCAGACATCTGCGGTACGAGATATTCATCCATGCATCCACCCTCCATCTAACAGAAGATCCGACATCGGAGTCTCCTGCCAGTAGATCTGACGCCATTCATCCTCTAACTCGGGAAGTCCTTCCATGGCCATTGGTAGCACGGGTTGGTCCAGATCCGTGAAGGAGAAGAGTTGGCGCCAGTCGAGCGATTCGCGGGGCGCGTCGGCGTCGATAGCGTCGACGACGGGGGTCATGGTGGCGGAGGGTGGAGGTGGGGGGATCCAGGCGTCGAGATGATGATGGTGAGGTTGTTGTTGGGGCTGAGGTTGAGGGTGGTTGTGGTGTGGGCTTGTTGGGAGGTGGTTCGTGGAGGAGTCTGGGGTGGGGACTTCGAAGGGAAGGGGGCGGTCTGTGGGGTTTGGGTTGGGGGTTCGTGTTGTTTGCATTGTTGTGGGTGCGGAGGTGGATGTGGAAGTAGCGGAGTGTAGGGTGGTTTTGAGTTGGTCTTGAGGGTTGCTGAAGCGGCGGGGCGGTCGTTCGCTGGTGGCCATTCGGAGGTCTTCTTGGAGGCGTCTGGAGTCTTCGAAAAGGCGAAGGATGGTGTTGGCGTGAAACCAGTAGCTTGCAAGTTCGCGGAGGGAGTAGGAGGCTGAGTCGAAGCGGCGGAGAGCGTTGATTGCTAGGACGGGGTTGGAGAAGCGGAGTTCGACGCGGACTTGGATCATGGCTGTGAAGAGGGTGTGGACGCCGGAGTACCACAGGAACTTGAGGCGGTCGTTTAATCGGAGTTCTTCGAAGATTGAGGTGATGACTCCTGCAGCTGCACTGCAGATTTCGGCGTCGTGTGGGCCGTAGTCGTCTGAGTAGGCGGATGCTCGGGGGTGTGGGCGATGGAGGAGGATCAGAAAGTTGTTGTAGGTGAGATGGAGCATGGCGGACCAGGGGTCCATGTCGGATGCTCGGAGACGTAATTTATCGGGAAGTTTCAGAGACCAATTGGCAAGGGCTTCGTCGGCTTCGAGGAGGACGGCTTTGCGGCGCTCTGGACTCACTCGTAGTCCGAAGCGGCTTCGAACGATGTACGAGATCATCACTGAGAGTTCAGAGAAATGGATCACATAGTCGGATTGAACACGAGGTCCGCAGCCTTCAAAGTCGGAGATTGTCAATGGAGACACATCGGAGTCTTCGAGATTGCTGTGTATAAAGTCAGCAACCAATTGGAAAGGAGAGGAGGGGGTATCTGCTCACATTGCCTGCGGTCGACCATAGGAAAGTGATACCATAACGTCGAATTGCACTATGATGTACCATAGCCTCCTCCACATTCGGCGATCACGAGAGACAAACCGGCTGGAGATAGGATTTCGGTGCATTCCAAGGCCAGTAGCAATTCTGGCAGCCACGCCCACCCAGTAGTGCGCATTCGCTGCGACATCATCATCGGCACCATCTGAGTGCCAAGTCAAGAGGAGGGCAGCTTGCACCAGGATATCGCGATTACGCTCAATACGGGAATCAAACAGCCACTTGGCACGACGAAAGAAAATGTCCTTGAGGGCATCGCGTTCTGCTTTGGGACGAGTGACATGGGCTCCCACCAGTAGGATGGCTTGTAGCAGCAGAATTGGGGGAGGATCAGCGGGGTCTCGATTGCGATACTGCGCCATGAACAGGTCCTCGTCAATAATAGGATACCCCGGGTTGACGTGGTCGAAGTAAGCTTGCACCAGCTCATCTGCTAGGGCCGGTTCAGGCAAAGTGAGAGCATCCATGAGCAGCTGATCATGCCCGGTCCTTAACTGTCGTCGCGGAATCTCATTGCCTGCAAAGTGATACACGTCGTCATCCTTGTCACGTTGCTGACGGATCAAGAAAGACATGTTCGACAGCTCATGACCCACATATATAGCTCGCACACCCCGACGAATCTCCCGACTGCCCGATTCTTCCTCATCGATTAGCTTCACTAGTCGTTTCTCCAAATCCGCATGCGAGTCTGATTCGGCCGAGACATCCGGGCCCGGAGGACGGTTATATGTTGGAGATTCTGAAGTAGACCCGGCGCCATTATGGGGAGGGTGTTGATTAACATTATGATTAAGCGTTTGATGAAGGTTATGTAGGCTTGAGGTGGGAGGTGCGACAGGCGTTGTCACTTCCGGTTGGACGCCGCGGAAGGTGGTGGTGAAAGCGTCAGGCGGGGTTGTAGCCGTGAGGGGCAAAGAATGTCTGTGTAGAGGCTCAGAAGAAGCAGGAGGTGGTCGACAGCGGATTGGAACAGGGTCGAGGATTGATCGCACAGCCAGACGCTTCTTCTTTTCGTGAATCCGACAGTCCGTCTTTCCCGCGGAACGGCAATTGGAGCATGGGAGGCCGACGATGCGGGCATCGCATCGGACTTTGCGCCGATGGCAGTGGACGCAGGCCGCGGAGCCTAGATAGACAGTTTCATTAGAACCATGGAGAAGAATAGCAGATATATGCAGAGTCCTTGATGACATTGCAGAGCGTACCTGACTTGCGCTTAGTCACCCCATTCCCGGCGGGTGGATGACTGCTGTGCGCTGCGGAGGTCATTGCCGAAACATCGACACAGATTCAAGGGTCCGGAGACTCGCTAATTCGTCATCCCTTATCCGAGAGATCTGAGGGATAGAGCATAAGGTCAGATCAGGACATGATCTACCCACGAACAGCAGGATTGGAGAGGAGAATGAAGCAGACGGAAAGAAGAAGAAGGAGAAGGAGGAGGAGAAATGGCAGACATGAAGAGGAGAAAAGGCGGGAAACTCGAATTGCTTTGCTCGGCATGGTTGTGATTGGTCGATAATGGGCAATCGGGTGGGGCCCGACCAGGGCGGGTCTGGGGGAGTCACGTGGCGGGTTGCTGATCCATTCCATTGAATTTAGTCAGCCCTTCGATGCTTTTTCTCCTCGTCTTCTGGAAGCCTGTCATTGCCCGCCGTTTGAATGCTACCATCCTGCCCATGGTTAGTTTAAAGCATACCTATCTAGGTTGCTACTCAGGCCCAGGACCCCTCCCATTATCCTGCCCTGCATCTGTGTGACAGCCGGTGTCTTCCTCCGTGCGCTTATCCACCATGGGATCCACTCCTGGCGTCAGCTCCGTTATCAGTCCGCCTATCGTCCATTCCTTCTCTCTCACTGGACCGTTGGTGAAATTCCTTATCAACATACTACATTCTCGAGATAAAGTGTTTGACAAAAATGTACGGCTAACCGGATCCACGGGTACTCATACCAAATTCTCCTGCATCGCAGACAGGTCCTGATTTCACGCCAATTCGCACTCTATCAAGCTCTCCACTCCCTTTTCCACCGTCCAGATCTTGACTACTTTCAACCCCGCCGATTCAATCAATGTAGTCCAGTGCTTCTCCGTCCGTTCCCCCGAGGCAATTGACATCATGATCATGTCAAGGCTTGTCGTCTCGAAATGCGCGTCGAGACTGGGGACAACATACTCGTTGATCAACAGCTTACTGTACCCCGGTTTCATGGCTGGGATAAGGTTGGACAGGATCTGACCGCACACATCGTCAGGCCAGTCATGTAGAACCGAATGCATATAGTACACTCGTGCTCCTGAACCTTGTCAGCCCTATTCATCAATCATCAAAAGCAACTGTTTCAAGCCATACCTTTCACCGGCTGCTCCGTAAAGAAATTATGCGCCATTGGGTCAATGGACACATGCACATCCTTCACAGTTTCTATAACCTGAGGGAGGTCCTGTACCACAAGACGCCCAGGCACTTCCGGCCACTTGCGACGGAATTCAGACACATCGTGCCCGGTGCTACCACCCACATCAACCAAGAAGACGTCCTTCTCACTCAGCTCAGTACCCTCAATTAACCGCTCCTGGACTGGATAGAATCCCTTGTCCATCCAGCTTGGTCGTCCCTGATGGTACGCCGACATGTGGTTGCCGAATTGTTTGGCAAGGGTAGGGTTCTTTTGTACCAATTCGAAGAAGTGTTCGTCGACACGCTGTCCCAGCTGATATGGGGACTTGGTGGGGTCGGTTGGATTGCGGAATCCGTTTTGTTTAAGGAAGGCTGGGATAGCGTAGATACCTGGGTATAACCAACCTGAGCTGGGGTTTGCAAAAATAATGTTAGTACCTTAACCTTTTCATTGGCATTCTGGGTCTCACCTACAGGGCAGGGAAAGCATCTCCATATCGCTCCACACTGAGTGTGATCGAGAGGTTCGTCGCAATATACTCGTCCGGTCCCGCTTCAGTGATTACGGTCATAGATGCCAGATGCTTCATGATGCGCGCTGGGAGGTGTAAGTAAAATACAACTCGACCTGAGAAATACATGCCAGAATTATAAATAGATTGGGGGATGCTTACACAACAAGACCGGATCACTCTGTGTAGTCACCGCAAGCTCTGCGACAGACTTGGGCTTGTCCCGAGATAACTCGCTGAAAACACCTATAGCGAGGGCCGTTTCGATAGCAGCGTGCAGAGTAGCCTATAGCAGAAACCGGTCGTTAGATCTCAGCCGGCATACACATCGCAAAGCATTTCTTTAAAATCCAACTGAAAGACTAGACTTACTGTAGTCCAGCACTGTCTAACAATCGCTTCTCGCGGGGTCTCCAGCGCATTCGCTAGGGCTCTCGCAGCATCTCGCAGTCTTAGTCTTTCTTGTGAATCCTCCAGAGAGATGGATTTGTGGGATGCGATCTGGTCGATAAGAGCCGGAACAGCCTCTGGTGCACTTGGTGAGATGGCAATCGTGTCCACGCTCATGTTCAATGTGGACGGCACATGGCCGTTGGACTGGGTGCCTTTCGTATGGTGTCCATTGGTGTGATCTCCGTTGTTATAATGTTCAATGACCGTTGAGCCGTTTTTGTGAGGCATTTTGCGGCTATTTTGGAAATACTTTCTGAGTGAGTTACAAGGGTTATGCAAGATGTCTGTTTAAATGGCGCCTTCTACTACTTAATATGGGTCGGCAGCCAGACGGAATGAGCAGCCTATGTAGGCTTCTCGCCTTGCGCGCTTCTATAGCACTACAATATAGCCCGCACTAGAATACTTTACTTATGGTACTTAGAGCAATATAGTTAGCCTCCATTCCCTTCAGTGCCCACCGAGGGTTAAAATCTGGGAGACAAGCCGATACTGTAACTCCCACTGGTCATTTATCCCACTTCTGCCCACTCTGGCGGCCTGCAGTAGGGTCGCTAATGTAACGGCGACGCCTTAATAGACCCCACTCCTTGGAGAGGGATAGTAACAACCCTGGTCGGTTGCTTGTACTGCCATTGGCAGATAATGAAAGCTCATACCAATGGTCCAACTAGGTCAAAGACGCGTGCTACATTAACGAAGGCTCCATATCGCTAGAGTCACTGGCTGGAGAAACGGACAGTGTTAACACTTAACAGAGCTCATTATTCCTGGTCTCCCTGTGATTGGCTGGCTTCGTGGGTACCTAGACATGGTGTTTTGGAACGGAGATTTAGTTTAGAGTATACCCACGAGTGAGGTGGCAGCGGCAATATGACATTGTGTTAGTCTCTCCGCCGATTTCTGGTGGGTGTTCGGGACTAGATGGCCTAGCTTCTTAGTGCAGCACTATCGCCAATAAGGTCACGGAAATAGCATTATATGTAGTTCTGGATCAGATGTAGACGGGGTTCGAGGACGGGCGTGCGCTCATGAGATAGAGTCCGGCCCTGATGGCTTCGCATTAAGAGCTATTAGCGCACTCTTATGATGTGCCGCTGCTGCGCCGTATTCTGGGACTCATCTATCTCAATTAGCAGGCGTCGAATGGGATTCGCAAGATAGGTGCCGTGTAAGATCAAGGATTCATACCAATAGATCCTACATACGCGAGAACCGAAGTACTATGGGGATGCTTTGATCTTAGCGAGATGATTATATCCGTGCCACGCGTTTCAGTGAGCGTAGTGAAGTCTGTGTATGCCAGTGCTGTTAGAAGCATCCGTGTCTTAGTAACAAAAGCAGAAGAACCCCTGAGACGGACAAGGGTTGCCTCAATTTAATTATCACCGCGCAAACCGCACTGCTGGCTTGCAGGGATACTCGCATAGCGCATGAGACCACACTTCGCGCCATTGACATCCATAGGCCCGCGCCTGCATCGTACTTTTGACTGCCCATGTGCTACTAGTTACTAGTTGGAAATCCGATGGATAATTTATTTTAAATAGGAGATGGTCAAAGGTTAGCACTATGGTACGACCCTGTAGCGACGGTGTACTTGGCTGTTGGGGAACTCTGCGGTGCCAAGAACATGGTGGATCGTCTAGGTAAGACAAGCAATATAGGCTCCTGACGTTCAGCCTTAAATGTTGCTGTAGGGGAAAGTGACATTCAGCCACATGTACTCAGTATTTGGGAGCGCTTTGAAATTGCGCAAAAGCGCTATCTTCTGATCGTCTATCTCAACGGAGAACAGAATTCTCAAAAATCACCGATTAGCTGGAAATTCTTGATTGTATAGCTGCAATTTCTATTATCAATCTATTTGCGGGCAGTGGCGTCCAAAAGGACAAAGAAAGCAGCGTACGTAACTCACTAAGGCATTGCACTATACGCTAGGGATAGAACGGTGTGAGATGGTGCGTGACGCCGGCGCCGGCGCCGTCGCTGGTGGAACCGGACTCCAGGCAGAAGCTCGTTCGGAGGTCGGAACTGTGGGAAGGTCAAGAAGCTCGGTTAATATTGGGACCTGTTCATTTCATGTGCTCTTTGCCTTCCTTGATCGATCCCAACTATTCCGCAGTAGCGTCCAATCCACTAATCTCGATCTAGCAATGGCCGTCTCCTGCTTATTTAAACACGGACAGTGTGTTAAACCCTGGAATGTCGGGCATGTTACCTCGGCCGACAATATGATCGAGGCTCGGCTCTAAGCCGAAAGTGATTTCACATTATTAAATGATGTTTACGAGGGTGCCACGTTTCTGTGCCGCTATTGGTTTGCTTGCCTGGGGATTTATCTGAACGACTTCGATGCTATCGTCTGTGTCAGACAGTAGTAGATCGCACGTTATTCCTGGTCAGAGTTTTAATGAATATACATTACTCTGGATCTAGGTGTCTCGGCTCCAGAGCCTAGAACCAGAATAATATAAAGGTTGAAGGCGAAAGATTCTCCATGAAACTCTAAGGCGACTTCGGATGCACGAGTCGGTCCGTAATCGGCCTTAGAAGAGACAGGGATTATGTTGCACAGCTAGTGAACTAATGGACACTAGAGGAAAAGCAAATCCTGTCAAAGTACAATGAAAGGACTGTACGTAAACCCCTTAGATGGATCTCTGGATAGCCTGAGTAGCGAATTGCACACTTTGCTGGAATCATATCAACGGAGGACTGTTTGATGTTTGCGGCATTCAACTTATCCATGTCCAACCAAAGCTCTGGATGCTGGATACGAAGCGATGGCTGCTGTATCTCCAGAATATGCCCACCAGACTAAGGGCCCACGAATATTGGCTGTCTTTTGGGCCATGACCAGTCTTGCAATCCTAGCTGTGGCAGCCAGGCTCTTCATCCGTATTAAAGTCTTGCGCAACCCAGGTGCAGATGACTGGCTGATCGCAGCGTCAATGGTGAGTCTATTACACTTTTCTTCAGGTCCGACTGCCACAATTGTCCTTTTGCCGTAAAGTCTGACGATCGTTTTAGGTTTTCAGCATATCATATTCTGTCGTAACAACGGTCGACGTCGCTCTAGGTTATGGAAAACATGCAGTCGTCATAGCAGATAGACTGGAACTCGTTCTGCTAGTCAACTATGTCAACTTCGCCTTGGGTATAATCTCTTTCGCCTTACCCAAATTAGCCGTGGCAGCCCTGCTGAGCCGTTTTCTGAACCCGACAACTATACAACGTGCAATCTTGTGGGGGCTGACGGGGTTCGTGGCACTGGTGTCGTGCATCTGCATCTTGGTGCTATTTACTATGTGCGACCCAGCGAGAGCTCTTTGGGACACGTCTCTCCTGTCGAAGGGCGCACATTGTCGAAGCTCGTGGATCCTGGTAGACTATGCCATCTTCACTGGAGGTAGGACCCTAACTGACTGATAACATAAGCCGAGCTTAAACAATGATAGCCGTATCTGCTTTTACGGATCTATATTTGGCAATTTATCCGACAGTAATTTTGCTGAAGCTCCATATGTCGCTGCGGAAACGATTGGCCTTGTGTGCAGCGTTGGGCTTGAGTGCGGTGTAAGCAAGAATTTGGAGAGCCCATCGCCATCAGTATTCGCTAACAAACAAGAATATAGCGCTTGTGCAATGGCAATCATTAAGTGCATGCAGCTACCGGGCCTTGCTGATCTCAGCGATACGACATGTAAGTTGCGTTTGACGAATCGCCGCGAGTATGACCGGAGTCCGACTGACACTATAGCAGTTGCGACAGCAGATCTTGTGATCTGGACAAGGTAAGCCACTGTGTGTTACTCCGTGGCACCAAGCCGTTGTTGAGAGGAAATCCCGGACATTGACAATTTCCTCGACAGTATCGAATCGAACGTCGTGATCCTAGCCTCATGTATCCCCACGTTACAACCGCTTCTCGAAATAATCCTCGGAAAGCGCAGTCTGAGAAGCACCAGCAGATATCAGTACAAAGAGAGCAGTACACAACTGCCTGAGTCCAACAAGTGGAGCAGCAAGCGGTCCGGACACCGGAAAAGCAAAGGCAATATGATGGTCGCAGATGTTGGCAGCCAGGATAGCATTTTGCAGACAGTTGACGGTCACGGGGACGAGAGCCATTATATGGGGCACATCCGTCGTACAGATAACATCACCATTGTGTACGAAAGTGTGACGCCACAGTCAGATGGTGCTGATAATACAAATAACCATGTAAAATAGGAGGACTACACTGACGGGGTCTCTAGCATGTTCTTTTCTTTTCTGCCTTCTTGTGAGTTGGTCTATAATAACGTAAATGTCGTTTATCCATTGTCTAGACGCAAATTCGCATGAGTGCTTCAAGAGTAACCTGCAGAATTGGAGTATTCCAGATATTTTGAGCTTTAATGCTTGCTGAGTTGGGAAATTAGCATGATGAACCTGCACTGTCAAGCTCAAGTGTTGCGTTGCTTCCATACCTTCATGTCGCTGGCACAACGCAAACCTTCCAGTATGAGATAATGTACGTATGCCGGCCTGGACTTGTGGTCTTGCACGTGCCTGATTCTCCGCGATGGATTTATCATCCAAAAATGAACCTTTTCCAGTTTTCAGCAAGCTGTTGAACGCCTTGATGTAAATCCCATCCGCGGATATCGCAGATCTGTCGAGCGATTTCCTCAAGCAGGTCATCCAATTGTTGCCCCGCCGTATGCAGATCGCTCTCAATGAGTACCCTATCATCAGGTAAAGCCTTGATAACGTCGATGACCTTCTTTGACGAAGGTCCGCCGAAGTTTATCACAGAAGAGAAGGAGAAATAGACGTCTGAAGGATTGGATTGATGCAGGAATTGCTTCAATGGCTCCACCGGTCCGGAGTAAGAATGCATGCAGATCCGTGGTGGAAATGGAAGAGTATTTTCTTCTGGCTTTGCTGGCACTTGTTGCTTTCGTTCATCCTCCGCGTCGCTCTCTGCGTGCGCATCTGCAACGCTATATCGTCGGCGTCTCTCCCGCCGTGAGGCGCTCTTCCGTTCATGCCCAGACCAAAGGGCCTTGAAGAGGTCAAAGACCGCCCCATGAGCCTGCACACTATGCACAGAGACTGGTCGTTGAAGTTCTCCAGCTAGGCGTAATTGAGCCTCCAAGACGGCTTTTTGATGCGCCAACTGAACACGATACGGCGAGAGCTGTCTACCTTCGCGCGACCCGGGGGTCATTCGCTCATCCCGAGTTTCTTTTTCCTCCTCGGTCCACGCCTTGGGAAGCCTAAAAGCACGATCAAGGCCTACCTCACCCACAAGAGAACGGGGATACGCCAGCAACCGTGCTCGAGATTCCGACAGCAACTCTGACAGCGGCTTTGGATCAGGTAACGACAGGATGAAGTCATCTTCTGGCTCTGGAGTAAGGACCTTTTTATAGTGCAGCTTCTTCCGCTCAATTGGTGAGGTATCTTTGTCGATATTGGGCGAACCAGTCACATCGTCGATGATTTGATGCGAGAACCATGGGTGCCAGCCAAAGCACGGGAGCACAGGCCCTGTTGTTGAACTTTGGGCGGACTCCTGACCCTGGGTCAAGGATGTAGCAGTCTGAAACACCAAGTCTTGGTCCTCTCCGCGAGTGGACATGACTGTCAATGTCGATGCTTTCATCTGGGGGATTTCCGCAATGGATGACATGGTGTCAGTGGGGTGACAATGGGCGTCAAACACCCCCAAGTGCCAAGGAAATGCATCAGTCTGATTGGTCTCGGACATGGTGCATGTGAAACAGAAATGTCAAGAAGCCGAGGAGGAGTTCGAGTGTTGAGGCAAAAAGAATAATGTTTCCAAAGGTAGCTTGGGGATGTGTTGATTGACAAACGATGGACGAAGAATGAATGGAGAGCGCAGCTGTGACGTAAGGAAAAGCCCACCGATACGAACGCGATACGCGGTGTAATGATGCCTGGGGCAGCGCAGACAGCGGATATGGAGCATCACATGCTTCTTCATTGTCTGCTTCTCCGCATTTTAGATCTGGGGATGCAATCATGATTGCTATATTGCCTGCATGGACACTGCAGACTATGCCTTCCTACTATAGCCATGCCACTTGCTTCTCATATATCTAGTAAGAAAACAAATATTTCCATGTATTCAACATCCTGCTCCCACCTTCTATAGCCCACTCTATAGCTGCCCTACCCCCCTCATCTTCATGTCCTCTATGTCCGCCTTCGTGACTCTTCCCCTCCTCACTCTCTTCTCCCTCCCTCTCGCCCTGTTCGCATGCTTCACCACCTTCCTTTCCATCCTATTTCTTCTCCTCCGCTTCTCTGTCATCTATATTGAACTATGTCTTGCCATAATCACAAACTACTTTGTCATCCCAACAGCCGCCAACACCTCCCTCCTCAACTTCTCCGCATCTGAGCCCACTACCCCAGCAGCCTCCACAACGCCCAAGCGTCGCTCCGTCGACCACAGCTTAAACAACGGACTCCTCACTGCCCTCGCAACATACCAACCAGGCTCCAATGCTTCTCGCCGAACAACCAGTTTGACCACTACAGCCTCCACGTCCTCAACCCAAGACACCAGCACTGTTCCACTCTACCGCAAAGATGAACCCCCAAGAAACACACCCCCACGCCACTCCGCCCCCTCTGCCCTCCTGACCCTCATCAGTGGTGACGAAGGCCGCGACTTCGAAGGTCTAGGTGGCTGGCGCTGTGCAACCACAGCAGCAGCAACAACAGCAACAACTACCACCACCGCCACAACGATAAGATATCCAAGCCATCATCTCCTCTCAGACACCGCCTCTCCCTCACCAAATCTCACCAGTACCGACCACGACGAAAGAGCATGGCTGTCCATCAACGAGCGACTAGAGCTTCCCTCTCAGCCACTACTCTCCATCCGGAACAACAGCAACAGCAGCAGCGCCAACAGTGAACCCTTCGAAGCTCTCCCCTGGAGACATCGACAAATGGCTTCAACCAGCCCTCCCCCCGGAGGCATTAATAATATCACCCGCCATCACCATCGCTCCGCAACCACTTCGTTACTATCCACTAGCCTGTCCCCGAGATCCTCACTGCCAGATGCTCTAGATCATCCACAACGTAGGGCTACCTCGCCACCACTATCACAACAGCAGAACAACAGAAGTACGCTCTTTTGCACGCCCTCGCCTACTGAGAAGTTCCCAAGCGCATCGATCCCTCGGGTATCGAGCCCTACTGATGGATCAGGGGGATATTTCTCCTTGCGACCCGGTAGCACAAGCAGCACGAGCGGGTCAACGACACCAGGTGAAGAGCGACGATCGCCGAGACCATCGGCCAAGTCTATGGTCCATTACCCGGCTGGCGTGAGATATCGAAGGAGAAGTATGTCGGGGCCGAATAGTGGGGTGAAGTTGACCCGGGCGTCGTCAGGGACGGAGCGGGCGTTGTAGCTGATCGTTTTGATTGCGATTATGGTCATGTACACGCTCGTTTGGTGGCGTTGTTTTGTGGGATGTCTGGATGATGTGCTATCTAAGTAGTATTTTCCGACTGGATATGACGGGGTTAGGTTTACAATTTCCTAACGATTTACGAATCATGACACACGAACCTTCTTCTAATTTCTATACTTCGATGCTATCTTTTCAGATTCCGACTTCTACCATTAAGGTATTTACATTCCACGTAGTCCATGATCGACAGATACCCTTTGAGACATCGCCCGATCTATGACTAAACGAGCCCATCATGCATTTACTGATTCCAGAAGAAAATAAAAGAAAAATCCCGCTATTTAGTGACCCAGCACATCATGAACACCTCTTGAAACAAAATGAAAGTTCTGACCTCTGCTTGGTCAGACTAGACTGCATAGAAATGCAGAGCTCTATGAAGATCGATTAGCTCTCTCCTTCTCAGCCACCTGCTCCATCTCAGCCAAGACGATCCGGTTAAATTCTTCCCATCCGTCTAGATAGATATGATGGCCTGCCCTCTTGATGACAACCACCTTGGCTGAGCCATTGTCTGATTCGCGTTCCTCTACCGTCGCGTTCTGCAGGATACGCTCCTTCTCTTGATCCAGCTTAGCCTTCGCGGCTATTCCGCCCTTCACGTCCATCCAGTCGTGGTCGCCATACATGAAGATGATGGGGAGACCGTTTTCGCGCTTAGGTGTTGTTGAGGGGGGCTGGGAGGGGGCAGAGTTGGTAGAGGAAGATTCTGAAGTAGACTGGGAGGTGGTAGTTGCAGCTGCGGCCTTCGCAGACTCGAGGACAGCAGATGCGGGGGACGGGTTTTGCTGGATGTATTGACGACCGACGCCCTCGATGCGGCGAATTAGCGGGCTGCGGGCGAAAGCGCCCGGGGCGAGAATGTACGATAGAGCGTACTCGCCGCTGCCGCGCATGCTGAAGATCGAATACGAATAGTCGTGCAGAGCCTTGGCCTCCTCTGCCGGGAGATGGGAGAAGCGCCGGGATGTCCACCCGGAGACCAGGCGCGGACCAAGCGGTCCCGCCCATCGCACCAAACTGAAGGGGGAGATGTTGGCATCCCAAAGGTAGGCGAACCACTTGGGAACCATGCGCCGGGGCGGCTGGTCCGGGGAAGCACCACTATTTGTAGGGGAACCCTTCAGCAGAATATTGTTGTCGCCTTTCTGAAGCTCAGTGGGGGGAACCGAAGAGGCGGACTCGGCGATATTGCGCTGGTTCTGGGTGAGCTCATTCGCCATAGTCGACTCGTTTGGCGCAGGCATCTCTGCCCGCACAGCATATGGATCCTCTGGGATTCCCACGGGGGAAGCTAGGATAAGCTTGTTGAGTCGCCCCGGATATTTGAGAGCGTATGCCACGGCCATGTAGCCTCCCAAACTATGACCGAGGAGTGTGAAACGGTCGATGTTGCGCTTGACTCGCCATTCCTCCAGCGCATCTACGAACCATGCCTCTGCCTCTTCGATGGCTTGTTCACGCTCCTTCGCTTTGATGCGAAAGGGCGGTCGCGTGCTGCGGCCCATGCCCAGGAGGTCCAGCGCATGGAGTTGCCACCCTTTCAGGCGACTAAGCGGCTCGAAATTTTTATAGAAGAACCCCAGACCAGCACCGTATCCATGAAGCATGACCAGATGTTGATCTGCTTCTTCACCAATGCGCTCGACTGAGAACTCGTTCAGAGCCCGATTCTTCCCGCTCAGCTCCACCATGCTGGAGCGCCACATTCGGGGGCCGTATGGATCATTGGTAGAACTGGCAGATACCTCACCCTGTTGGGTTTGATCGGCGGACTGGAGACTGCCTGTGCCTCCGGAAACATTGCTCGTTTTACCGGTCTGGAGGTGGGTTGGGGGTTGATGCTGGAGATAAGGGAGGTGGGAAAGAACTCTGTGTTCTGCTGTGGCGGCGGGTAAAGACGCCCACTGGAAGAAAATCCAGTCTCAGTCACCCATGCGACAATTGACTTTGTTCCTCAGTAAAGAAACGTACCCATTGACTAAAGCCTTCCCTGTAGCCTAGGGGAAACCAGGCCAAGGGGGGAGGCGTTGCGCTGGCTCCGCGCGCTGCATGTGGCGTACTCTCTCGGTCAGAAGCCACGGGTTCCTGGCTGCGGCCGCGGAACTGGCCGCTGGGCGAGTTGAGCGACTCGGAGGCCATCGTAGATGTAGACGACGAGCGTCTAGATTCCGTCGGTCGGGAAGAAGAGGAGATGTATCGAGCGCTTTCAAACGAGGTCCAGGAACGTGGGACTGGGACCTGAAAAGAAAGCGAAGGGAATCGCGCGATCGACACTTTGTCGCCGGGAAAGACGGAGTGACAGAGGGAAAAGCTCTGTCACTCTCTCGACTGCAACGGAAAAGAAGGGGGGTATTTAAAGACAGCGAGTGGAAAATAGATTAACTTCTGTTTTTAGGAGGGCGCAGTGGAGAGAGTAAGAAACTGGTCAGTGGAACAAAACGAGAAACGGTTGAGGACAACGCCTAAGACCGTTAACCCCGATCCGAGATGGAGTTAAAGAATATGATAGTTTGTGAGTTTAGGCAACCAGAGATGATGACGCTGAAGATAGATAATAAATGAGTCAGCAGTACCTAGCCTGCGCAATTAAATACTCGGAATGTCAAAGACAGCACATGCATGCAAAAGAGAGGCAGTATAGATTGGAACAAAAGAGGGGGAGGAGGAGGAGAAGGCAGAAAGTTGAGAAAAGGAACAGCTGAAAGTCCAGCGGAAGTGGAGCCTCAACCAAGTGTTGGCCGATTGGAATGAATGGATGACGATGCTTCACTCTTTCTTGTCCTTCCCTTCTCCCTCTCCCTCTCCCCATACCTTTCTTTTTCCTGTCTTCCTCGAAACTTCTTCTTTTTCTTCCATGCGATGAGATAGCGCTGGGCCGCAAAGGCCAAAAATCCACCCTCCGTGTTATTGAATTTTCCCCTGCGATCTGAGCCTCGGAGCTTAATTCTGGTCCATCTATTCTTTTCCGTCCTGACGAACCCGATCTCCCTGGCCCTTCCTCGTCTTTCCTCTTTCTCTGGCTTCCACTCCAGAGCTCATCATGGCCTCAGCAAGCCTAGACCAACTGGTCAAGGGCTCTCCAGCACCCAACAATCGCCTTGCATCTTCTGCGACATCCTCCTCCGAATCATTGGCGCCTGCATTTCACCTCCAAGCTCCCTCGAGCGATCCCTCTTCCCCGCCACGGTCGTCAACTCCCGATCCACTGTCGACCCTCCCCTCTTCCCCACCCCAGATATACCTCAATCTCCTGATTCTCGAGAGCTCTCTGCGAGCTCAATACCTGGCTCTCCGGGAACGCCGCCGACAAAATACCTTCTTCCTTCTCTTGCTTGCCGCCTGGATCGCCTACTTTGCCTACGCGCTCTTTCTCCGCCCGCGCGAAGATGGCCGCGGTGTCGGAGGATCGGTCTATTGGGTAGTCGAAATGGGAGAAAAGGTCGCCCTGATGGGTGGCGTGGTCACTGCCCTCCTGGTCTGGGGAACAGGGCAATGGGAACGGGGAGTTCGTTGGCCGCGGCGCTGGCTCGCCGTAGCCAACCGCGGCCTCCGCACCATGAACACCAAGATCGTGGTCATCCGAGGTCCCTGGTGGCAGGAACTCTTCTCCTACCTCTCTTTTCTCTTCCCCTTCTCTGCCCCCTTTTTCCCGTCCCCCGTGGGCGATTTCCACTACGTCGAGCGCCCTGCGTCCGAAAGACGTGGTAGTCGGCAGCACTACCAGCAGTACTACAACCACGACGCGGAATCCGGTCTGGTACAGGAAGACCTCAGCCCGGGAGGGGACTACATTCGACTTCTTCTACTGCCGAAGTCATTCTCGCCCGAGTTTCGCGAGAATTGGGATGAATACCGCAGCGAATTCTGGGATAAGGAGAATGATCGTCGTGCTCAGCTGCGCCAGAAGCTGCGCCAAAGGGAGCGTCAGCTCGCCCAGCAGGATGGCGGCTGGTTCTGGTGGTTCGGATTGAGTTGGAAGGCGTCGCAACGCCGACGAGTCGCTGCCGCAACGATCAGCCGACCCGGCGATGCTGACAAGATCCCACATCGTCCCCATCACCACCACCACCATTCGTCCAGTATCTCAAAGCTCGTCCATGAATCCAAATCGCCCTTGCGACGCGGCGGACCACGCTCCGAATCCCATTCCCGCACGCCATCACGCAGCACTACCCCAGTTGACACTGACGACCGACCCCCGTCCAGGTCATCCGTCAGTGGCCGTCCCCGCCGCGGAAGCACAAGTCCAAGCACAGAACAACAAATCCAGCAATCACGAAAGAAGAAGGCATCCAAAGCCGCCACTCGTGGTCTGTCTCCTTTGACACAGGCCCAAATCCGAGAGGGCGTGCGCACCCCATCCTTTTCATCCGACGATTCCTCCTTTATGGGCACACCCAGCGAAAAAGAGAAACCCAAAGAAGATGGTGCTGAATAGAAATTCTCCCAAATCAACACCAATTTCTGGTCTAATCTACCAATTATTCCCCCGTATGTCCATTGCCAATATTATACCCTCTGAATTGCGCACTACACACATACACACACACATATACTATCTCATCTCGATGTACTTACCGCCGTCGTAGGGTGTGTGCCGAAATAAAGCTCTTTTCTCTCCCCTTTTCATCGTGCATTGCCGATTCCTGCCTTATACATTTCGGTTGGTTTCTGTTCTCTTCCCCATCTCCGATTCAATTCCTTCTCTTTTTTTTTTAATACCCCTCATATTCCATCATCTTTATAGTGCATTTTTACTTTACTTTTTGAGTTTTTGGCATCAGGGGGTATGGTATAACTATGCGACTGAACTTACGTCCCTTAGAAAAAAGATTCGAAAAAAAAAAAAAAAAGATTAGATCAGAATCAGTTTAGTCCTTGGTCTGGATAGTATATACGCATGCATATATATTTGATTCACTCTCTTCTTCTCTTGTCCTTTTAGTTTTTTGGGGGTTACTGCGTAGTAGTAGATACACTGAGTAGTGAGTGGGACAGAATAGAACTAGCCTAAGTAGTAAGTACGTACGTAGTGGGCAAACTCAAATCCAGGCCTGTTCCTGCGCCTGGGATGTAAGGGATATGCAAAGCATGCAAGATAAAGGGGGCAGACTACTGGCAGTAGACTAGTGGAAAAAGCAAATCAAGGGGAAGGACTACTAGGGGAGGGGGTCTGAAAAAAGGAAGTATACTTTAGTTGGTACTCCATCCATCGTCTACAGGGTGCTGGACTAGTATCTAAGTTTAGTAGTCTCTCGAGAACCTTATTCTAGCCTATCCTATTATGAGATATCAATTTATGTCGGGAAGCCCTCAAGTCAGGGCCTGGGTAGATAGTTAGTTTGTAGACATTGATTTATGAAGTATATGATGGATGGCATTTCGATGAACAAGGAGATGCATGCACATGGAGGAAGTAGAAGATTAAAAGCCAAGTAATATAGATGATGAATTTCCGAGACGCCGAACTATCCGTGACAACAGGTTATCTGTATTTAGGCAACATAGAAAAATAAAAGTGTAAAGAAATCATGCGCGTGATGGTATCCATCCCATTTCTCTAGGTCGTATAACGTTGTAAAATGAGTTTCAGTGGTTTTTTGTTTGTTCTTGATTAAATTCTGTAGACGGTTTCGTCATCCTCAAGGTACCTATTCGGGGAAGTCATTAGCACTTGTGTCATGTTACAGGGACAATGGTTAGGGAGCATACATTAATTCGTTCCTCTCGTTCATAGCCCTCAGGGCCTGGATAGCTTCCCCGCGCTGGAAGACGTGCGATTCGCCGAGGGAAGGCGTGTTGCGCAGCGCAGTGTTCACAGCTCCGATAAGCGATTCGACGTCGGCGGTGTCACCGTGGGTGAATAGTCGTGTGCCCATCAGTGGACCCAGTGCTTGCCTGAAGACCGTCAAGCGAGCGGGCTGGATCGGCTCCGATGAAGCAGTCGTGTTCTGCGACTGCGAGTTGTCTGTTTGGGACTCGACCAGCTGTGACGCGGGTCGAGATGAAGCCACAGACATCCGGGACTGGCTTTGTGTTTGTGTCTGCGTGCGGGATGTTTGGCTAGAGCGGAGTCGTTGTCCGCGAGGACTAGAATTGTACAAGCCATCGCCATCCTCGGAGACAGCATCTCCGTCCGCATCCATCTCTGTGTCCTCGTTGGTGGCGGAACGAGCGTTGGCTGCACGGGATCGGAGACCGCCTCTCCTGGATGATCTGGGGGTGGCGCTGGTTGTTTGCGCAGGAGTGTTATCGTCGTCAGAGTCAGAGTCGCTACTGTCTGAATCTTCGTCAAACGAAGCGACCTTTCTCCTCTTGCGGCGCTCATCTTCAACGATTTCCTTGAACATGGCGAACCGGAGGATAGACTCTGCGACCTTGGCGTCGCGCTCCTCGACTCTGTTGGAGAGGCGTGACTTGGCGTGGGCGGTGGATAGACGGATCAAGGTTTCCAAGGTACGGGCAGTGATGGGCGATGTTCTGCGCTGGTTACCAGACAGTTCGTCGTTTCTCAGAGCAGAATATGTTGCGACAATGTGGTCGGCGGCACCCTTGGTCAAGACGGGCTTGACACGAGACTTGGCGTATTGAATGTATTTCTTGATGAAGGGAATGCTCAAGATTTCGATGTTCTTGCTCTTGGACCGGCTCATGTGGGCCATGCCGGCGTGAAGCATGACATTGAACTTCTCGTAAACATCTGTAGGCTGGTTCGAGTCCTGCGTATCCTCGAGGCCGACACCAAGCGTTTGGTGAAGCTGTTCGCGGACAGGAGCACCCTCCTCAGTACCGGGCTGGCGGTAGCGATGCATACGGAGGACGTGCTCTGACACCATTCTGTCCCTGGAATCCTCAATGTCATCGGTCACGACGAAGAGCAAATCGAAACGTGACAATAGAGAGTCCGGAAGGGCAATGTTCTTGTGGGGGTCTTTGTGGGGGTCGTATTGTCCGTAGATCGGATTGGCGGCGGCCAGGACACTGCATCGGGCGTTCAAACTCGTGTGAATACCGGCCTTCGCAATGGTGACAGTCTGCTGCTCCATGACTTCGTGGATAGCCACACGATCGACATCGCTCATCTTGTCGAACTCATCAATACAGACCACACCGCGATCACCCAGAACCATGGCACCAGCTTCAAGTCTCCGCTCGCCAGTTTCCTTGTCAGACGTGACGGCAGCCGTAAGACCGACACCTGAAGATCCTCGACCTGTCGTGGCAATCGCAAGCGGGGCGGTGTTCAAAACGAAACGAAGCAGTTGAGACTTGGCGGTCGAAGGGTCACCGACCATGAGAATGTTGATATCACCACGCAAATGAGTGCCGTTGTCCAGGTTCTTCTCCATACCACCGAGCAGCATGAGCAGAATGGCCTTCTTGATGTAATCATGTCCGTAGATACTGGGCGCGAGCGAGTGCGACAGGAGTTCAAAAACACCCTTCTTCTTGGAGACCTTATTGATGTTGCGGATGTCGGTGTCGGTAATGGTGGCCTGTGCGATTCCTCCACCAGACTTTGAAGACAGTTGGATGATGTTATTCGCAAGGACAAGCGTGCGGAATGTAGCAGACGTAGAGGAAGCGTTTCTGTTACCCAGAGAGCGGTAAACTCCGACCAACTGGATTCTGTCTCCGGGCTTAGCGCGGTCAACCAGATCATCGTCAACAATCACATCCACACTCCGAGGCAGCTGGCCAGCCGGGGCTCTCTCAGGCATTTCTTGAATCGAGATAGTCTGGTGGTCCATATACGTTGAGAAACCGTATTCTGTGACAAGCTAATATGACGAAAAGTGTTAGCCTCAGGATATTGGTACTCTATCAAACAGACATACCGGGTTCTTCTCTTCGTCTTCTTGGGGATAGATGCTCATGCTCGTGGCACCACTAGCCGTCATTGTCGCATCGATGTACTTCCTTGTAAGAAACTTCTGACCGCGCTCGCTCCAATGCACACTCTGAATAATCTTGGGTCGGACCAAAGAGCACTTCGTGACGATACCCTCGAGGGAGATCATTCGGTTCAGGTGGGAGGAACCGAGCGTCCTAGGGTTGCAGGAATATTCTCCAAATGCGCCAACAAAGCCGCAATGGTAGTTCTAGATACTGTTAGAAGCCAAACGAGCATCGTGAAGGTGCCCTGTTTCCCATACCACATCGTCTCCCGTTTCCCTCGATGGCCTATTCGGCAAAGTCTTGATGATCTCTTTAAGGGCCTTTTCGAAGGCATCAGAGTATTCATATGGTGACGCGAGAAGGCTGTAAGCAATTAGCCAAGGCGTTTGTATGAGGGAGCGAGTGTTTCATACCCATCGGCCATCTCACGGTTATGCGCTCGGATCTCATCGATGCTAACCTGCGCAACGTATGGCATTAGCTGCGGGAACCCATATGCTATGTCCAATGTATGAGGTTATATGCATACTATCAATCGACGCAATCCCCGATTTAACATCAACAAAATATCAGCCCGGTAACTAGTCGCTGGTTAGCGTCTGCCATGGCGTGGTCATCCATAGTTGTTGGATATAGGTTGGTGAGCAACGGACCTGCGCGCTCTCGCATCACCTATATTAGAATCGAGTTAGCATATTGCAATCCATTGGAGCAAGTCTGTCCGGGCTTACTGGGGTCAAGAAACTCGACGGCGGCACGCACTCGATCCTGCGCGGCGTCGTCAAACTGTCCCTCCATGGCGGCGGACTTTCCCACGGATTGCTAGTAAGAAGAAAATAAGGGGTATCTGGGGGGGGATTGGCAATGAAGCGTTAAAACAGAAAACAGCTAGAAGGGTGGGGTCCAGTGGGAGAAAAGCAAGCGGGGAGAAATGTCGAGGTGATTTTTGATGCTCGTTGATGGGGAAGAAAGGGTGGGTTGCCGGGAGGATCTTTCAGGTTGCCATACGCGACAGCTCAATTGGGTAATATTGGAGCGCGTCCGCCAGAGGGACGCGTGCTACCGCGTCAGTTGTATCAGATGAGTCAGCTATACATAACTAATGCATATAATACATGCATACTAGGACTTGCGCTCTAACAATTAACTACGCTGTACAACAGCACTAGTAATACCTTTGTATATTCCTCCTAATATCTTCCTTTACTTCCAAAATACTTGCATATATTTACATGAAAAAGAAACATCTCTCAAGCCTCATCCACAGCGCTACAATCATAAAGCACTCCTAAAGGAACCGCAGCTTCCGAATGATTATAGCCCAAGTTCAACGCCATAATCTGTCCCACGGCGACCCCATAGTAAGTAGCAAAGTCTTGCAGAGTGCCATATCCAAGAGTAAACTGTGTCATGGTACATGCAGTATTGTCACAGATGGGGATCTTCACTGTCTCGCCCGTCTGAAGGACATCATAAGGGCCAGGGTTCAAGGCGGCAATATATCCAGTTTGGGCGGTCTGATTTATGACGGACTCGACCGTGATGTTAAATCGTTCGTTGGCAATCTTCTGAATGGTATCTCCAGGCATGATTGTATACACGTGTGGACCACTATCGATACAGGTGTTGGTGGTCTCGGTGTTGTTGGTGCTGAAGCAACTCATATCATCTGGGAAGGTCGGTTGAGCAGGGATGCGAAGCACCTCGCCAGCATAGATGAAGTTGGGATCAGCAAGGATATTCAACCTGGCGATATCACAGGTTCCCACGCCGTATTTGGCGGCAATGGCCGACAAAGTGTCATTCTCTTGAACAGTATAGGTCTCGTTCAAAGCAGTGATATCTAGGTTTATCACGGTCCCCGTGGTTGGGAGGGCTGTACGTAGTATGAAGAGTTAGTGCAGAAAATTGAGTTGTGACAGAAAAGGTAACGGACCATCGTAATTGGATGCTGGAAGAGCGGCAGCCACTGCTGACAGGCTGAGAAGTGTAGCAACGAGCATGGTTTTGAACTTTAGCGCTCCAAATTGTTCTGAGATGAAACGGGTTGGCGGTACAACTCTGACTCCCTCTGGTGCAGTAGAGTCGCCCTTTATATAAGCCAAAAGACCAAGTCAGAAAATTTTCGAAATTGATCCACCGTGAGGCCAAAGACATCACTATCCAGTTTTGGTGTCTATGACCGACTCGAGATAGCCGTGCTCCGTGAAACCTTGGTCATTGGGCACCTTTCTCGCTTTTTCTTACTCGGACTAGCATAGCTTCAACACAAAATGCAAGCGGACTGAAGCCATAGCATGGAATTCTGAGAGTTGTGCCATTCCCACATACCCCAGAGCATGAATGTCATGCGGGGACTTCCCCACAATGACCGGGTAAACTATCGGACAAATGGAAATTCGCCAGCCCCATCCGGAGCATGGATGAGTGTGGCCTAGTGTAGATAGTGTAGAGGTGTTGGTATTTGTGCGGCTGGACGTTTCGGAGGTCGGAGGCAATTGTAACATCCGATCTCCGTCGGCTTTTGGGTGAGGCTTGTCCTTGACTGGGCTTAGCCAAGCAAGATTTTCATGAAAGCCAAGCTAATAGTGCGTCTGATGTCACACATGCAAGTGACATCCAAGAACTTCATCAAGGCAGCCTCATGTCAAAGTTAGTTGTTGTGATTTAATAGAAAGATAGTTTATATGTGCTGGGATTGAAGAAGAGAATAGGTAAAGGGTCAGATCTTTCATAGTTGTTAGAATACAGATTGAATCTAAGTGATTTTGAATGGATAACATGCGTTTCCTCAATAGCCGTTCCATACGAAGTTGGATCCGGTCCTAGAAAACCCCAGAACACGCACATGTCATCCTTGGCTATCTCTTCGTTTGGCTCCCTAATATATAGGCGTAAGGTAAGCGCTCAACTTCCAGAGCATGGCCTGGATAGAGGTTGCGTTCTGTTCGCAGATCATGGTGTTGTTGTCAGTCCAGTATGGGCGCGACGGCCAAGTGCAAAGCTCTTGGACCTCGCCCGCATGCTCTCCAGAAGTAACGGTGGCATTGATTGTAGTGGGCACCACACCTTCTTCCACCCACTTGACCATGTGGGCAAAATTGTCCCGGGGGAAGCCAGCATTGGGTTGCTCATCGTTGGTCGCGCAGTGGGCTGCACCAGGGACGAGATAGAACCGATACCAGTCGTTGAGTTTCTCATTACCATCAGCAAAAGAGAGGTCAGGGTACATGATCTTGCGAACCGATTCGTGGTAGTGAATAGATCCGGTCGGGGGCACACTGCTATCGGCCTCCCCGTGGTAGTGAAGCAGACGGCCTCCCTTGGAGTGAAAGGGGGTCAGGTCAGGAAGCGTGGTCTGAAGAGAGTCCATGTATTTGGTCATTCCTTCGATCATCCATGCCTTCAGGTCATCGTTGGTGACTCCCCACATATCCATTTCTGTGACATTCTGCCAGTTTAGGAACTTGGTAATCCATTCTCCGTTGGAGTTAGGAGAAGTGATCGTCCAAGAATCCGTGGTGCTGTCGTAGACAGTGGTGTCTCCAAAGCCGGCTGTAGGCTGGAAAGGAAAGTATACGAGGTCACCATTCGAATCTTTCTGTTGTTTGGAACCAGGTGAGCAGTCTGAAGGCAAAGGAGCGCAGGGTTTTGGGAAACCGTTCATACCAGTCCAGTCAGAAGATCCTCGATCACCTCGATATCTTTGGCATTGATAGTTCCATTCTGTGCGGGAGTGGCCGAGGTTGTCTGTCTCTTGCTCCTCTTTCCGTATCCCAAGCCAAGGCTGCTGGTCGACCCAGCCTCGCAGTAGTAAGATTTACCCAGCATTGAGGAGACGTTGAAATTCTGGAAACAGAGATCACTACGAGCAACCACCCCATCAACCTTTCCATCCATGCCATCACAGGCATTAATCGTTGCGTTAATCACCGTATCGAACACGCAAGAAGGTGGATAATATCCAATGGTCTGAATTTGGATGGGAGGAGCGATGTGGTTCACCTGCTGCTGGCCGTATCGCATAGCAGGGGCACCCGCAACGATGCCATCGTATAATTCGGGGGCCCGCTGGGCTTGACTCATGGCCTCCCGTCCACCTTCAGAGCAACCGATGAAGTAGGTGTACAACTTGGTAGCGTTACTCCCAACGTTGAAGAAGTTATTGGTAAAAGCCTTTCCAATTTGGGTCATCTCGGCGATGGCTTGATATCCCCAGTTGTAGATGGCAGGCCAATTGGCAGTTCCATTTCCGAGAATGACAACATCATCGAAGTCAGTACCACCCCAGTAAGGGAATCCGCCGTCAGTGTAGCCAGTGGCAGCCCCAAAGGCGACCCCTCCGGCGATATCACCTCCTCCTGAGCCGTTGTTGATCTCATATGCAGAACCACCTGTAGCGAGAAATCTGTTCTGGAATGTGTCTGGGCTCGGCATCCAATACTGGACAACTACGCGGTCATCACTGTTCTGGTGGCTGTAGGCAAAAGATACCTCGCAGAAGTTGATGGTCAAGTCCTCCCAGAAAATAGAATCGGTGAGGGAATAGTTGCGATAGATACTGGCAGATACAGAGCTGGTATCGATGGTAATTCCAGATGGAATGTCATCGCTAGCAGTGGGCAGAACGGACGTGACATAGTCGGTCGTACACACACTGTTCAGCGATGCCGCAGATGCGACACCGACAAGAATGGCAGCAGCCAGGCTGTACATTGCAAATAAAGAGAAGGGACGGGTCTTTGACCCTAGAAAGAGCGATAAGATATAGAACAAAAGAAATTGAATGGTTGCAATTGTGGAAACAGAGTAGACAGAACTGAGACTCACGACATTATTATACCATTGGATCCTACAGTGGTGGCTCGCTTGAATCGAAGCTTTGAACCACTTACACCTTAGCATAACCAAGACACTTACGTATGTTTCTAGATACTAATTTCATGGCCTGCAACACGGGATGTTGATCATTTAGTAGCGTGTCTGGCATAGAAGATTGAGAGTCTCGGTGCCTGTACAAATTTCCGAGAATCTTATCTTATCATTGAGCTTAAATGCGAGATTATGAAGAATCGAACCACTTGACCACCTGTGAGTGGCTGATCAAGTCCCCAAGAGCCGAGATTTTGGGTCAAACATCGGTCTTTCGGTCATTGCCAGTCGGAGATTCGGCTTCACTTACCTCAAATAGGAGACCCATCCCGCTGGCCGCGCGGCAGCTCAGCTCTATGCAATATAATTAACGTACGCATAGGGCACTGGTAAGGCACATGGGGTGAAGAAGTTTAACTCTAGTCTGATTTGCCATTGGGGGACTTGTTAGCTAGATATGGCCACCAGCCCACAACAGACAGAACCTTGAATCCGTCGTGGCAAGATAGAAAAAAAGGCCTATCGAAAATCAGGGAGGTTATAGAAAAATGAGAGATTACTCTCAGCTGCAATTGCCTCTCAATCTTCATAAGCACAAGCACAAAGCGAGACCAATGCATCCTTTTCCAATACTGCCATCTTGAAGAACAAGAACAGCATCCTAATAATAACCACCTACTCATACAGTTCATTTCCCACACCAGCGGGTAAAACGCAATCGCCGTGTGGGTAAGCGACATGAGTCGATTGAACGCCTCGTCGTCAAAAGTGATCGTCGAGGCATATTTGGGCGGAATGATCAACTTTGCCGAAGATCAGACGTGCAGTTGAGGTACCAGTACTTCCCAGCACGAAAGACCAAGCGTTTCCAGCTTCCTGGGCTACATTCAGTAGAGCCTCGTTGTTAGGGCATTGGACAAACCCTTTGGTGCCCATGTTTGGGAAATGTGAGCCTCACTGTGTAGGAGTCCATGTTGGTGACCCTGGGGAGATTTTGATGTAGCGATAGATGGGAAATTGGTGGTGTATGAGAGAAATATGGGAGAAGATGATCCTGAGGAAAGACGGGGTTCAATAAGTAAGTTATACCACTGAGCATGCAGAAGGATATGGAGCCGTGTCTTGAGACTACTAACGATGGGATATAGTACTCGGCTGGATTGGTATGGTCTGAGTTCACATCTACACAATAGCATAGAACAGGTGCGATCAGCCTTCCAGGATGATTTTGCAGCTACTCATTGACTCCGAAGTCAGCAGTCTGAGTTCTAGACAAGCCCTACCATACGATCCAAAGGCTAACGATTCACTGCTACTTTGGTATGCCATTCACTTAGACGTGCATATGTTGTCGGCCGTCGGTAGTTACCAGCCTATTTAACACTACTCCAACACCACTCCAAGCAGAGTTGAAGCTTCTTCATTTAAAAAGCCCGGGAAGCACACACGGTCAAGATGGAGTTGGCATCATCAGGTCATCTTACAGGCGCGGATATAATCAGTCCACTCCTCGATATGATTCGCAACACTCTGCATCTCGATCCTCTCATCGTGGTGAACTTGGGACTCCTTGTGATTGGCATCATAACTTCCCTCCGTTCGACTGGAAATATCGTCTACAGCTACGCCGCAAAGACATGTCTGTCAACCGTTCACGTAAAAGTCGATGATCCCCTCTATAACGAAATCATCCGCTGGATGGCAGACCATGTATTCCAGCATCGCAATTTCCTCTCCGTTCTAGCGCACACCGCAAACAATTCCGACGCAAGAAGAATCACTAGGCTTTCACGAGTGCAGGAAATCATTCACACTAATGAAATGTTCTCTCCGTGCAAAGAGGATGCCAGACAATTGTCAATCGAACTGAGGCCATTCCATGGGTCTCGACTTTTTCGCTTCAATCGGACATGGATTTACTTCTATCATAGATCCAACAGCCTCAGTTACTCCGACCCTCTGATGGGCAGGGAAGACAATACCCACTTGACCCTACAATGCCTCAGCCTATCCCTCTCACCACTCAAGTCCTTCCTCGAAGAAGTTCGTGCTTATTCTTGCAAGGCATCCGAATCCACCATCTCAATCTACCGCACCCAGTCCTTCTATCGGGATATCCGCTGGATACCCATCGCGACTCGCCCACCCCAAGATATCTCCACCGTCATCCTGAACGAGAACAAAAAACAAAGGATCCTCCAAGATATATCAGAGTACATCTCCTCTAAAACCAGACAGTGGTACGCCAACCACGGTATCCCCTATCGACGCGGTTACCTCTTTTCTGGACCTCCAGGCACATGTAAGACTAGCCTTGCGTCCGCCCTCGCCGGAGTCATCGGTCTAGACATCTACGTCCTAAACTTGCGAGATCCAACGATGAAGGAGCCAGAATTTATCCGCATGTTCTCGGCTATCCCGACGCAGTGTATCGTGTTGTTGGAAGATGTTGACGCCGCAGGGCTGAACAGAAATGAACCCATGGTCCCTACTACCACCAACACAAGTGATAGTACCTACCTAGATAATACCCCAAAAACACTAGGACAACCGAGAGCCCCAGAACCTGTTCCATATACGGCAAACGCGTCCGCAATCTCCCTATCTGGTTTACTCAACGCAATCGACGGCATCTCTTCCCACGAGGGCCGCATTCTGATCATGACAACCAACGCGCCGCAGCAACTAGACCGCGCATTGATCCGCCCGGGACGCGTGGACTTGCATATACGATTCGAGCTTCCGTCTCGCGAGGAGCTGAAGAACTTGTTCTTAAGTCTATACAGTTGTGACCGTCAGGGTGATCAGGAAAAGCAAGAGCTCCGGAAAGAGAAAGAAAAGCTGGAAACCCTTGCGGAACAGTTTTCGAATAATCTCCCTGAGGGTCGGTTCAGTATTGCTGATGTCCAGGAGTTCCTGTTGCAGTATAAAAGGGAGCCTAAGAAGGCGTGTGAGAATGTTGCTGGTTGGGTGGAGGGAGAATTGGGTGTCGAGGGTGAACGAACTACTAATACTGAGTAGGTCTGTGATAAATAGAAGAGGTGGGGTGGGGGTTGTCTTTCAATCGGGAATACATTGCAGTCAATCCTGAGGTGGTTGTTGAAGGGGGGAAAGGCGTTCCTTAAGGAGTAAAAAAATGGTCTTTACTTGCGCGTTTCGTATTTCCAGCATCTGCTCTGTACTTGAGGAAAGGGAAAACTTGAATCACTATTAAGTACTTTCTTGTAAATGAGCATAAAAGAGTTCAACTTCATGAGTGACATTCAAGGAGAAAAGTAGCATATCTTCCTCAAACAAATGTAAAGTTCGCGCACAATTATGTCTTAGGATTTCGTTTTTCAGCATATTAATAACAAAACAGGGATGACTGCCTCGCATCTTGAACTAGTACAACATTCACGTCGACCTAAGTTGAAGCCCTCAGTATCCGGTCGTTGTATCCTCCATCTGACCCTACTCTAACCTCAGCAATCTACGGCATGTACCGGGTAAACGCTGGGTTCGGCGCTCAACCGCAAATGCCCCCGCCAAGTGCCTCCATGACTGAACCGACAGCAACCCACTGTGGTACCACTGTTGTGCAGAGTAGTCACACATTTCTCGACAGCGGCCAGGATTGTCTTTTTCTCAGCGGTCGTGTCACAGTTTGACCCGGTCGTCGTCGCCTTATACGCATATCCCAGCACCTTCTCCCCACTGACATCTGTACCGTAGGTCAAGGTGCACGAGTCCGCGTCCGACTTCGACTTGATGAGACCAGCCAAGAACTCCCAAATTTCAAGCCCGGCCTTGACTGTGAAGATTACGTGGGATGAGACTTTTGCGGTAGTCACGATTTTCTGGATCGTGATGCCCGTCCTTTTCTCCAAGTCTGTCGTGTCGGATGTGACATTCGCCCATTGCCAGGCGTAGTCGGCGTTGATGACCTTCAATGTTGCAGTCATGTTGCCAAGGCCATCGTCCCAGTCTGCAACGATTGGTGTGGTGATCACATCATATGTTGTTTCATTGTCTCCAGCAACACATGGATCAATAAACCCGCATGCGAGAACGCCACACAGGACCTTGCTGAACTTGACCATTCTCCGTCGGTGTAGCGGTGATACAGAGCACAGAGGTCGATGATGAGGAGGCAAGTAAGTTGCAGGAGGTTCATGCACACTTGAGAGCGTTTGTCAGTCAATACATATCCATATCTTCACGGGGCATTGAAGGTGACGCTTCCATACCTGGTGATAAGTGCTGAAAAAAAGGGGGCAATGACAGTGAGAGACCTGAGCGATGAGTTGATGAAGAATACAGGAAGACTCAGTGACTTGGGGCCTTTATATACCTTTGCAGCCTGGAGGACACAAGTCCTGCCAATAGTCGTTTGAAAGTTTCTAGTCTTCAGAGTAGTATATCAGAAGGCTCTTCAGGTATTTTTTTCACGCTAGCGAAGCAAAGGATCAGCTAGCTAGCTTGATTTGTATAGCAGGATCTGACGAGAGGATACCTGCTGTCAGCTTTACCAGCGAGAAAAGATAAGAGGAGAGCATTCTCCACCTTATGAAGGGCTGTGTTGATTGTATTTGCTGCGTTTCTTCTACATTCTACTCACGTTAGCTATGTGAGTTGGCCTAAGGGCAATCAATCATGATATTGCAGATCACGATTCTATCGTAGATCATACAGCCTGTGAATGCCGAAGGAGAAAAAGCAACTGGCCTGAGTAGACAAATTTGAAGCGATACACAAGTCCCAGTTTAGAGAACCGATAATCGGAAGGTACGGCCCTGATTACCGATCTGGAAAGAGCTCATATCTCCCTTCTGCCTAAAGATACATTATCTAGTCCCAAAGCATGACGATTGCCGGTGAACATGTGCTAGTTTGTTTCTGGTGACGCGGCTTTATGAGTCTAAAAAGGATAAGCTCTGGTCTGGATGAATAGACGGAGAAATTCCGGGATAATGGAACAGCCTCAATGGCTACTAGCAGTAGGGCAAGAGTCAGTCCCTAAGGTCAAAGAGGGTTAGTTCAATTGTTATAAGCCTCCTTCCTTCACGGATCCCCGCTTTTTGGCCCCCACTGACTGCTGACTCGCATGCTTGAGGAAATACGTAACATGTGAAGGTCAATTCATCTGGGTTATCGACTGGATAACATGCCATGTGCACTTGAGCCTGTTGTTAGCGCTGACATGGAACTATCGCACTTCGCAAAAATCTGCTGTCACCTGATGTGGCTTGCAATCAAGTTAGTAGCTCCCTAGAATGATACAGTGAAAAAGAAGAGGGAAATCGATGGTGAGTATTCCGGGACTAGTTGTGGTGATTTGCAATTAGGCTCAAAGCAGAATTGAGGGCAAAGAATGAAACCAAGCTGTCACGGAACTCTACATCAATAGTGTACAATTTCAATAATGATCAGGTGCTATGCTTTGACTATACTACTATACATTCAGATCTCTTTATACATATATACATACTCGCCCAACTTGAACACCACACCCCGTTTGGGGTACATCCTAGAAATACACTTTCAACTCAACGAGTCTCACCCTCGCCTAGAGGGGTTTGTCCCTCGTTTTGGGGCTCATATATGTCCTGTTCTTCGGCATCAGAAACATCTTCTCCTTCTTCTGCCTCCTCTGCCACCCATTCTTCTTCCTCTTCTTCATGTTCTCCTTCTTCTTCGGACTCCATGTCCTCCTCCAGATCGTCGAACTCATCTTCATCATCTTCCACGAGACTTTCATCGTCCATCAATTCCTCCTTCGTTCCGAGTTCCTTGTCTCTTTCCTCGAGCAGCGTCTCGGCCTCCATGTCATATTCATCGGGGTAGTCGAGGGTATTTCTGAACGGCGAGGGTACAACATCGGAATCTTGCTCATCATCGTCCAATTCGGAAATACCAACATTGATCGGAGGCTCATCAGTTGGCTCAGAAGTGGTATCTTGTGCTTCGACTCGAATATTGCTACTGTCTTGTCCCGCCTTTTCAGCAGTCGGTTCATTCCGTGACTTAGACCTAGTCAGGCCGCCCACACCAAGAATACCGCCTGTCCACACATAACGATCACGTCCAAGTTCATCAACCATCTCGCCTTTCTCCTGCCGACGCCGGAGGAGCACACCCTGGAACTTCTCACGGAGGTAAGGAAGTCTAGCAACTGCTGCGATCGTCTTAGGCGCCGCATCGTATATAGCTTGAAGATCCGTGCCTCCCTCGTGAATGCTCCGTTCGCGAAGTCGCCTCAATGCAGCAGCCAGATATACCATGGACACGTACGTGGGCTGCATGAAGTCCGGCTGGATCTTGCTCCAGTAGCGCCGGCCCAATCTGCCCAGTACATTAGGTGGCTTTGCCCGTTTAGGGTTCTCCATCGCATCAATGGTTGAAGGCACCCCCGGAGGTCGTGCACCATATCCTCGACGAAGATTATCCCACCCAGGGAAGTTGGGCATGAACTTATGTTCAAAGACAGTGAAAGCTTCAATCTGATCAGACAACCTGTCGGAGGACGCAAGCATCTGCACAAAAGTGGACCAATTGAAGGTTGTCATGGAGAAGCCTGCCTCCACATACTTTGCTATGACCTCGGAGATCTTCGAAACCTCGTTTCCATAAGCCAAAGAACGCAGATACAGTGAAAGAGGGCGAGATAGCATGAAGCGGTACGCCGGTAGAATCGGGTCCTTCTTTGTCGTAGCTGACTCGGATGGCGTAGCTTGGGAGTCGTCGGGATTCACCAAGAGCTCGGCATGAGATGGTAAGGGCGGTGTACCTGGGTTGAGTTGACGACTAAGCCACTCATCAATCTCAGGAGAAGTGGGACTGGCTATCTTTAAGGCGCGAGTAAAAGCCAGGTTCCAGCATTCTTCCACCTGTTGGTACTGTTCAGCCTTCAAATGCGCGAGCATCAAAGCAGACAGCAAACGAAGAGGCGCGATGTCATGGTAATTCTCTTCATCAGAGTCTTTGGGAGGATGACTAGCGGTATAGTCATCGAAAAGCCTCCGAGCCGACAGATAAGCCCCCTTCATACCATAGGCAGAGATCATATATTCGTAGTAAACAGCAGGGAATCCCTTCCTGGCAGACATCCTACCAGAACCCAGCAAGGGGTACTTCGTCGCCAACTTGGTAGAGTGGTAATCTGCAAGAGTCTCTGCGAGGAATTTCTCAGAGTTTTCGAGACGAATATTTGCGTGGTTGCCGACCTGACCACCCTGTGCCAAAAGTTGCAGATCTCGCTGGATCTGACTCTTGAGCACAAGGAGCCTCGAGCCAAGTCCCGGTTGGTTGAATCTGTCTTTGATTTCGCGAAAAATGATGTGCACCATGTCCCGATTGCGGTCCTTCAGATAGCCATACAGAATGACTGCATAATGGAATTCAGTTGCGTAAACGCGGCGGCCTCGGTGGAGTGCCCTCAGGATGCGACGGGCAGAATCCGTCTGGCCTATAAGCACAAGACTGAGCATAAGAGCAGAATAGGTCATATCATCGGGCTCCAGTCCTGAGGCGTCCATCCGCGAGCGTATCCTTGATATAGCTTCCAGATCCATCCGGAAAGCATAATTCCAGAGCAGGATATTCCACATTCTTACGCGAGAACCCTTGACGTCGAGGCCGAGGCAAGTCTCCGCAACGTGCTCAGCCATCTCCCACTCTGAGTTGTTGCAATAAGCCTCAACAACTGTATCAATCATGGGGGCTGTTATCTGCACGTTATGTTGTTGGGCTAGACTGAGCAGATCACGGACATGGGTGACATCGCCCCGGTTAGCACAAAGACCCATCATTATACCAAAAGTGTGCGAGGTGGGCTCAACACCCTCCATCATCATCTTCTTGAACATGGTGAAGGTCCCTGAAAGATCTCCCGCTTTGGAATAAGCTGTAAGCAGGATGTTCCAACATATGTCATTCGGTTGAAGGTTAAACTCTTCCGAAATCCTTCGGAATTGACGCGTGGTCTGTTCAACATCGCCAATTCTGGCGTAGACATAGAGAAGTGGAGCCACGATTTTGCGGCTTCGCGGCTTTCCGTGGTCCGAAAGGAACCTCTCGAATACATGCTGGACATTCTCCACATCACCGGCTCTCGAAAAAACAATGAGCGCCTGCCTGTAGACGTCCTCTGTCGGTTTGCGATGGAAGTGGGAAATCTCATCGAGGAAGTATAAGATACCGGTCGTGATCTCGAAAGAAGCGAGACGCTTCAACAGCTTAGCCAGAAGCTTGCGGGGTGGAGTTTCTTCCTCCATCTGCCAACGGAAATTTCGATAGACCACAATAGATCGAACAAACGTCGATCGGTGCTCTGATTCTTGAAGGGTGTTGATGAGATCAAGATAATTCCGCGAAGTGATCAAGTCCAGATGGTTGAACTTTTGCAGTAGTGCTAGAAGGGTCTCCGTCGCAGTAGCTTCGGCAAATTCCGTGCTAGAAAATACATTATTGAGTATGAAGCGAGCAGCAAGACGTACTGGACTGTTGAGACTCTGATCTTGTAAGTAATCAGCAAGTGCCAACAAAGGCTTATGCACGGAAGACACCTGTAGCCAAGGGGCGACAGTGTGCCACAGCGACTTGTCGCCCAACGGCCTCGATCTCCAAATATCTTGCACATAATCCCATTGTTCAGAGTTCACAAAATGTGCAAAACAGTATGCCCAACATAAGACGCCGCGGTTGTAGGAGATTGCTTCCTGACATATCCCATCCACATCCGAAAGATTCCCGGTAGCAATACAGGACTTGGTCATGTGCAGATAATCCTCAGAAGTTCGCGACTCGATAGGCAGGGAGTTGACAAGTCGCCTGGCTCTTCTGTTATCAACGTCACGATCAGAGCTGCCTAGTCTCGCCAGCAATGCAGAAGTCAGGTCGAGAGGGTGACCAGCTTTTGAGAAAAGGCTCCATAATTTGTCGGGATCTTCGATCTCCTCCTTATCCAACAACGCTCTTAGTTCGGTCTTGGCAGTGTCGCGGTCCTCATCGGCAATTATTTCAGCAGAGTCGTCAAGCATGTGAGCCTCAGCGTCCACCCTGCGGTCTAGGCTAACAGCCTCTGACGAGTAATTCCTGGAAACGCCAGGGACGGCCTTCCTTCTCCGTCGCGGGACAATCCTTCTTGGCGAACGTATCAAGCATGTCGCTATAAACTCCTGTGTGCGAGGGGGATAGAGAAACTCGAGAACGGGGGCCCGCGGGTCCGTGGCTGTCCTTCCGGTTGTCGAAGTGGCGGTTGAAGTATTCGACGCGGATCTTTGCGGTGCCTGCAGGAAAACCAAAAGCTCCGCCCCCGCGCTACTGAACTGTCCAAGAGTTGAATAGATCGAACCCCGACCTCGAATGGTGCCATTGGGATCCCGGAAGAAACGCCGTCCCGCGTTCTCAAGACATCCGGCAGCCCGTTCCAGCATTACCTCGAGAAATTGCGGTGCCAAACCCTGAATTTCACCGAAACTTGACTGCGATGCATAACATATCGGGATCAGAACTGTATTCGATGCCAATTGAGGTCAGCGAGCTGGGCATGCAGGAATGTGCAGGGTGCTAAGGGAGTCAGGCCATACCACGCAAAGCAATCTTGTGCACGAAGCTCACAGCCTGCCGTTAGATGGCTGCTCCTCCTGGAGAGATTTGAGAGAAGAACCGGCTTCAGAGAAGACAGAACCAACGGCTCCAAGCAAGAAAGCCAAGGGGGTGGTTCGGTGGCCGGAAGGTTGACGTGGGATAATTTTCGAGATGGCCGAGCAGCAAGCTTTCCCGATGCTGGAAAAGAGAATCCCGCGAAATCAGCCGGGGATTTGTTTGGCCGAGTCCTGACCACCTCAGCCCGCACTCATTCGGGTGGGAACACCACCATCGCCCCGAGCTCCCCCAGTCGTCGAATATTGCTGGCAAGATGGAGATCACCGATTTTATTTTCTCCCAGAGGGAGGAGAGTCTCTTGACGGGAAATTACAACGCTTATCGAGCACACACGACCCGCAAGTTGCACAGCGCCCGCCAGCGACTTGGACAGACAACCCCCAAACGCAGCAAGTACATTGCCAAACGACCTGTGACGGCGGAAGATGTGAACAGCAATGTGGAGTATGTTCCTAAAGTCATGTTTGACGTATTTCTACGAACAATGATATGGCTGGGTCCGCTATGAAACTTGCACTAACACTCCGAGTATCTTAGATACGTCCACACCCTACTCATCAGCGCCGAACGGGCATGGGCGAACGCAATGCACATGAAGACTACGCACTCGGCAGACCCTTCGGCCAAGGGAATTAGCGGTACGACTAGGGGTCACATCATTTCGAAACTCCGGAAGGCGGTCACATATGCGAAGCAATTGGTGCTTGTTCTCGAGGATCAAGAAACTTCTGGGGCTACGGACACTGATGTCCTCGAAGCTCGTGCATACCTGGCATCCCTCTTAGGGGCATTCTTCTTGGAGAAGCGCAATTGGGAGCAGTGTCTCCAAAACTACTCCGTATCCAGAGTCGTCTATGCAGCGCTGGGTCAGCAAGTCAAGAAGGACGCCTTCCGAGACCTTCTTTCCGGCACTGTCGACCCCAGTATAAGATACGCAGCATATCAACTGAAGCTTCCGCGGTCAAAGCCCATCCCCTCTTTGGCTCTTAGCTATTTCCCATCGGACGCGACCATCAGGTCCGAGGTTGAGAAGTTGGACCCCAACTGTCTGAAGGAGGATGCAGCGGGCACACGGAGGACCGCCGACGGGGAGGTGCAGCAACTCCCTGGAAGCATCACATGGAGATCGCATACAGTTGGTTTGGAAGATGCCGCAATCTCACAGGCTCTCGCGTCCGCAGCGGCAGCTGAATCTCGTCTTAGTACGTGGCTTGCGGAAGACGAGGGTAAAAATGCCTCTTCGAAAGATAAAGCCGCTGCCTACGACAATGTCATTATCGCCAGTCAAGATGCCGTCGATGCTACAAAGACTGCGATCGATGATCTTGCCGGAGAGGGAGTTGACCCGAGTGATAAGAGGATGCAGGCTTTGCAAATAACGCGGACTGCTGTTAACTATGATCTGGTTGGGTGGAGAATCGGACGTAACCGTGTTCTTTGCGGAGACAACGACGGCGTTTCTTTCGAATTTGTCCCGACCAAGCTACCCAAGGGTGCCAAGGCTTCTGACGATGCCACCGGTAAGAAGCTGGCACGGCTGCGCGAAAGAGTCGTCCTGTACGATTCCACCCTTCAAAGTATCGAGTTCATTCTTGAGCTTCCCGGAGTTGCGGCGGATACGGCGTTTGTCCGGGAGTTAGATGCCAAGCGGCGGTATTTCCGTGCTCTAAGGTACAGCAGCGCAGCCCTTCAGTACCAACCCAATATGCTAACTGGAAACTTCTCAGATGTCTGACCGTTGGAAGATCGCACGGGATTCTGGGCAAGTCCACCAATGCCCTCGCTCTGTTTGCGCAGGCTTTGGCCCTTGTCACGGAGACCGCACGGTCGCCGCAATCCTTGACTGAAACGGAAGGGCCACCGAGGCTGGATATCTCCCGTAGCCAGGTCCAGACTCTGGAAACCACCTTGAAGGGCCTTGTTGCGCAATACCGCGGTCTGGTGACTCTGGAGAAGATGTCCGCTGAAGCACAGTCGAACTCCGTAACTCAGCGCCCCGCAATTGAACGTCTACACGATTACGCCGGTGATGCTCTGGATTTGACCAACATTGTTCCTTATCCCCCTCAAATGCAGCCGATTCCAGTGAAGCCTTTGTTCCTCGATGTAGCTTGGAACTACATCGACTACCCTCGCCAAGGCGCGCCTACTGCAGACAGGGCTCAGGCTCAACTGGAACCACAACCGGAAGAGAAGAAGGGTGGACGACGCGGTTGGTTCGGCTTTGGTCGGTAGCCTTTTCATTGTTCAGGCTACGAAAGGGTATCTAACTCTTTACCGGCTTCATTGCCATGACATAGTGTGTAATGTGCTATTGCATGTCAGCACCCACCAGGTGTATCTAGCGTACATAGTAAATCTGATGATGATGAGACTGCGACCAATGATCGCTTAGCAGAATAATCTTGACTATATATCCCAGATGACCTATTACTGTTCTATCCAAGTTTGTGCTGATTTCAATCTCAAAGATATACATAAGAGTGAATAAGGAGTTTGTCCTGGCAGCGGCGCACTGAGGGACACTTTTTTTCTGCCACCGCCTAATGTTACAGTTTGCTCAGTCTATTTCTCAGATCTGTATGTTCTTAAGTCCACTTAAATCCGCGATCTTCCCAGCGAGGTTCGCTAGGTTCTGCCGCTTAAAGCGGTCTACAAGGCGGTGGGCTGCGAGGCACATTCGCTTTGTAAGGCCCAATCAGCTTGTAGTAGGGAAGGTGTCTTTAACTCCTAGAGACGAGATCTTCCCATACAATACATTGAAACAGCCAAGATTTCATCCTCGACACTGTATTGATAGGCGGAGTATCATCCGGACGTCTCCGACTACATCCGGACATCATATTGTCAACCGTCAAAGATGCTCAGTTCCCCGGAGAAACCGCACGGGCCAATTCTCCGGATAAGCCGAGCCACCATCCACTCGGAAGTTTGACAGCCGGATCACCTTTCTAGAGTTCAACAAATGGTACGATAGCAATTTGCATTGCTTGGCTACCAGTAAACTGCGTCGTCATTCAAATTCTATGGGCTGTTCAGTGGCCGGCTCCTCCGGGCTTTCATTTCATTGTACCGAAGGTTTGGAGAGGTGACTGATGTGGCGTTAATAATTTGTGGTTTGCAGATTGTCTCGCTGTGCTTTATGCGGTCTAGATGATCAAAGTTTGTTGTGAGATTAATGGTACGGATACGGATGATGTAGATTGTCTTTGTCTAGAGTGGTCTTGCTTGCTCCCTGGTGCTATAGTAACTTGGTAATTTCATTGGACTTTTGGGAAGATAGAAATGCATTCGGTGGTGGTGAATCACCATTAGTAGTATTGGATATATATTCGAAGCGAGCACGGTGACTTGAAAATTTACTACACAGGCACGTGCCTCATACTATGGCCATGAAACTGTGGAGATGACTACATCACAGCCAGGACCACATATTAATAAATTGTCCTATTATTTTCACAACCATCTAAAGAGATGACGGAACATTGAACACACGACATCCCCAGGGTTCGTAATACCATTGCTATCCAGTTAATATGGGTTTGGACCGTTCTGATTATCGAGCGGGAATGGCACCCGCCTCCCCTTTACAAGATCGGTACCTGGTGCTAGTGATTCGAGCTAGCCATAACCTGCCTAGCGACTGCTCAAAGGAGCAAGCGCCGTCTGACAATTGGCTGCAGCGCATGTGGGATGTTGCCAAACGAGCCATTCTCGTCAGAATCGGGACACGGATGTATGGCGTGAAAATACGCGCGGATACGAGCGATCATCCAGGGGCAGTTGGATTGTCTCCTCCACATCAGCCATCCTCCCGTGCAGATTTGATTCCTTCTTACTCCGTACAAGGGTTTGTTTAAGATTCCCACGTAAGCCCACAAATTGCAGGGTATCGGTCACGAAAAATATTATCATTTGACCAGCTGTTCCTAAATTCTAGTAATATACTAGATTCCTACGATTGACTATATTATACTCTTGTTTACTTTCAAAATCTGTTTTGCGCTGTTGAAAACAAAGACTTTAATCATAATATTCTGCCGATCCTGCACATCGGGGGCTTCCTGCGTCGCCGTACTGCCAGCGTCCGGCGTTCCGGCCAATCCAGAGCGAGTTTGTCTGCCCTCGCCAATAATTCTGCCCCGAAATTAGAGTTGCGTCTCCCCTGGATTCGCTTTCCTCTTCTTTTCCCTCCGCCGTCGCCGCTCTCCTCCTCCTCCCTCCTCTCCTTCCCTACCCCGTTGGAGACCGTTATACTGTCTCAATTGATCAATCAGATCATCCGACATGGCCTCTGTCAACGGGAGCTTCGTCTCCCCCTCGGCTGATGCCGTCGTCTCCCCCAGGCTCTTTGAGCCCACCGGTCTGGTCG